AGATAGCTGTAGCTCTCCTGTGCCCTTCAGCTCACCAGCAGTTCTTCTTGCAAAGTGCTTCCTGAGGCTCCAGTGCACATCCCCTAGCTCTTCAAGCTTCCAGTGGTGTGAACTCTGTGATTCTGGCCAGCCATGCAATAATACAGAGGCAAAGATGATTTTCTCTGCATCAGGATAAGCTATTTGAATGTTGCCTAATCAGTTTTGTCATCTGATGGGTGAAGGGGAGGAAGAGCTGGACCTTGTGCCTTACCGGAAAACAGGTGGGACCAATAAGAGGAAAGATGAGCCAAAAATCACACAATTATTTTGTGCTAGCTTAATGGCTGCCTTGTTCTGCCCAAAGGTAAAGACGTAGTTATCAGTGCCATTTATCAGGCACACCGTTTTAGTATAAACTTGTTTAAAACAGTGTAGAGCCCCTTTTTCATCTTAATTAGACAGTAACCCATTGATTCCAAGTAGGCCTTCATTTTCTAATTATTTAGTACATAATATAATGCCATTAAACATCTTTGAGTGGACAGGATTGCTCTAAAAGCTTTAGCTCCAGAGGTCTAATATTAGGCTTTTGGCATTCATCCCTGTGTGTGAAAAGCAGTGAGTTTGTTTACCAGGAATTTAGATTCCCATTACTGGGGGAATTAGCAGTGAGCTATTAGTCTGATTCAAGCACTTAACAATTGCTGATCATCTCCTCCTAGCCTGGGGATAATGGAGCTGATCAGCTGTAAATGGAAAGTTTGTGGGCCTGTTTTCATGAAGGCACTTGAGAAAGTGCTGCATACCCTGACCTCTGCTAACCCTGGGGTTTGCAAGAAACCCAGACACCAAGTCACTTCCTGGAGGACAGCTAATCACCTCTAAGAAGAGCATCCATTAGGGACTGAACCAAGCCCTGCCTCAGCCCACCCTCCCTCATCTGCGAAAAGGTTCAGCTACGAAATCCCTGAGGTAGAAGTGATGAGCCTCTGATTCTATTTACCAGTATCTGTTTTGGTGGGGGAAGCAACTGCAGAATAGCGGCTGGTTTTGATTCCATAGCAGCACTGAATGGTCCTGTTGAGCTCCTGGTGCTGGGTGGCTTCCTGCTGCTCCGCTGTTGCCCCAGAAACTTTGTCTGGTTCATGGACATGTCAAGGGTTACTTTGAAAGTTTTCCTTCTTGTTCTTGTGTAAAATTGCTAATATTTTAGCAAACAGTGACTTGTGATTTCTAGGATGCATTGACAAACACACTTTTGTTCTTTATAGGTGCTGAACCTGTAGTGTTGTCTTGTCAGCCTGAAGTCACCTTTTATTGTCAGCAGATTTTAAGAGGCACAGCAGGGATCTGTAGCCAGTGATTACTGTTTGAAGTAAAGCTTAGCTTTTCCTCATCTGCGGTACATATTGTGCCCTCCTTTAAAAGGAAAGCTGCAGTCACTTGATTTTTACTGAAACACACGTATTTGCTGGAAGCAGCGGGAATGATTTTAATGAGGCACGGATACAATCATTTTGGACTTCCAAATTCAAGGCTTATCTCTGGCATAACCTTGCTGATGACCTCGGGCAAAAAATGTGTATTGCTTCTCTCACTTGTCACACGAGGAAAAAAATTGCCTGAGTGACCGAGCTCACTGCTGGAGGAAGGTATGAATGCCCGTTGTGAACGCTGCATTAGACCATGTTAAGGGTTCTAAAGCTGTGTCAGAGTTCTAGAAGCCACGTCTGAAGTACGTGTCGGTGATGTCTGTAAAAGTTAAGATTGTTTTGTAAGGGATTTTGTCTAACTCTGTTCTTTAAATTTCTTTCCCGTAATGCCTCTAGCAGTGGAGACAAGGAGCGTAGCTTCTATTAAATGTGAAGGAAGCAGGAGACTTCTAGAGTTGCAGGATAAATTTTATTAGTCAGATTTGGCATTATTTTATACTTTTAAAAATAATCTACCTTACAACAATGAGAACATTCCCTCCTTTTACGTGCTTGCTGAGAGCTCCAGGCTAAGTCTGTCAGGATAGAGAATTTTTATTAAATTATTTGTTGTGTTTGGAGCAAAGGTACTCACAGCATGTTGTATTTCAGTTTCTGGGGACAAGAAGCTGAGAGGGGTTTGTAAATTGCCCTGTAATATGTTTAGTAAGAATTGTTCTGAAAGGATTTAGGTAACTGTGGCAGTCTTTGAACATCGGCAGTGCTAACAGAACTGAACTGATACTGGCTGACATTTCTAGCAGTAGTTATACTTGTGCATGCACATATGCTGTGTAGCTGAATACTTGGTATTTGGATAACAGGTGGTACCAAAGTCTAAGTGAAAATGGGTTTGGACTGACAGCAGTGTGAATACTCAGAGGTGAATTTTGTTTGCAGTTTCTGATGAACAAGCCTGAGAGGCAGCTGTGTATATAGAGGTGCATATGTACATGCGAAGTGAACATAGGACACTTGGAGAAACCCCCAAACTGACATATTTTGCTTTCCTTTCAGTCTAGAGCAGGATTTGCCTGAGTGTCAAACATTTTCCTATGTAATCCAGGACATGACAGGAGGCTGCAACTGCAATCAGTAACTTAGGGCTAAGGGCTTAAAGGTCCATAATGTCCTGCATATGAACAAAAAAATGCTGGTACTTTTTTCCATATCAACCTGTCTTAGAACATAAAAGTGGGGCAAGAGGAAAGATCACAGTGCAGATGAGTGGAAGATGAATGCAGTACACTGTGTGTGGTCAGACGGCTCAGGGAAATCTACTCCAGTATTCTCACAAATACCCCCAGTGGTATGTGGAGCATTGCAAAGACCATTTTTTTTCTTTCCTGTAACTCTCCACTGAATTCTGGAGAGACAGTATTACTGTAGTCAAGAATCATGACTTGTTTCTAATCCAGGCGCATGGGGGATGGTCTAGCGTAGATACTAGAATATGGTAATGTGGACTCTGTTTTCCTTAGAGACTGGTAGCAAACACACGGAAACAGTGCTGTCTCGTGATCCAAACAGCTATATTGCAGTAGGTAATCAGAAACACCAGCATTCCTACTTCTCTTTATTAAAAGACATTATATTTGTTCCTACTGCATGGAAGTGAGGTGTTGCTTCTGTGTGTGACAGAGGAGATGTTTCTGCTCCATGCAGTGATTTCCTGCCCAGGAAGTAAACAGAAGGCTGGAATTTGAAATGCAAATGTTACCACTGGAGAAGGACAATTACTCTGATACATGAGACAACATGAGATTCTGTACTATGAAGGTGTGTGCCAGTGACTGGAAGCCACAGCATATTACCTAGCTGATGCTTCCCTGGCAACAGATAAACCATAGGGTAAAAATAAACACACCCATGTTCTGAATACATTCAAGACTGTAATATTGTCTGGCTATGGGTAATACTGTTCAGATCTGGTTTATCTCATAGAACAAGCAAGAGGCACTATTGTGTGTGTGGAGGAGCTGCTTTGAGACGAGTTTCCAGCTATCCTGAAAGAGTAGGCTGGCTGATGAGGCAACTCTTGCACACAATTGATTGTGGACTATTAACCTATGCTCAGAAATCAATATTCACTTAACACCACATTTTAACAGGCAGATGCAGTACAAAATAACAGCAGTTACACAGTGCACACATTTACACTCAGAATAAACAGGTCATGAGATAGAGCTTGGCAGAGATGGGGCAGGCAGTGGGCAGGGGACAGTGATAACTGGAATACATGGAGATGTACAAGGTAGTTGCAGCTCCCACAGATTTTCGTAGCTTGAATATCCCTGGGATTCTGTGGTCAGTGACCTACAAGCATTCTCTAAGCATTCTAAGGTTTGTCCTGAGGCTAGGCAAGGTCATCCTTTGCTAGAGAACACTAAACTTACTGGGGTTGAGCACAGAAATCCATTTTAACCCACAAAATCCAAGTCTGTTGCTAGCTGTGATGATTATATATATGTATACATATACATGTTGCAAGGGGCAAGCCACAAAGGAGCAAGAATATAAAACTCTAGTGTCCTTGATCTGGGGTGGTATTTTTCATACTTGAAATGGATTTGAAAAGGGAAATGAAAGTAATCCAGACCTGGTGTTTACCAGGGACTTTATATGTATGTTTATTGAGCTTTACTTGCTACCCACCCTGGAGCATGGACTTCAAGCCTTTAGGATGTTGTGCTGTGCTCCATGCCTTGACAGGCTTGAGGAGTGGGCCCATGTGAACCCCCTGAAGATCAGCAAGGTCCAGTGACAGGACATGGACCTGTTCAAGCAGGTCTAGAGCAGAGCCACAGAAATAATGAGGGCTGGAGCACCTCTCCTGTCAGGAAAGGCTGAGGCAGTTGGCATCGTTTGACCTGGAGAGAGAAGGCTCTGGGGAGACCTTACTGGGACCTTTCAACATATATAAAGGAGGATCATAAGAGAGACTTTTTAGCAAGGCGTGTAGCGAGAGGGACACTGTACTGCACTCTTTTAACCTCAAAGAGGGTAGGTTTAGATTAGGTATAAGGGAAAATTTTTTACTATGAGGGTGCTGAGGCGCTGGCACAGGGCGCCCAGAGAAGCTGTGGCTGCCCCATCCCTGGCAGTGTTCAAGGCCAGGTTGGACACAGGGGCTTGGAGCAACCTGCTCTAGTGGAAGGTGTCCCTGCCCATGGCGGGGGGCAGCGACTGGAGGAGCTTTAAGGTCCCTTCCAACACAGACCAGTCTGGGATTGTATGCTTGAGGAAGAGCTCCAGGACGTGGAGCAGTAGGGTGCATGGTGTTGGGTCCCTCCCTGTAATCAGAATCTGAATGCTGCTGCACGTCTGTCAGAACTCAGGCCTTTGTTTTAAGGTATTAGCCTGACTGTTACTCAAAATGCTAATATGACAGAAGCAATGGTGGGCACTAGGTCTGCAGAGTTCAGTGCAAACTGGTGGGGGGAAGTTGGGGTGCGACGTGGGGAAGTTTTCAGTGGCTGCCATTCTGGGTTAAAGCTGTTCCATTTCTCGTTTCTGTAAGCCTTCTGTTTTCCAAAGGTAAATCCATAGTGGGATGTGCCTGGATGTGAAATAAAATTAGTAATATGGGAAGGAAAGATGCCATTTATGCCAAGTTAATGTGGGCTCAGCCACAGGGGCAGGAACAGAGCCAGGGATGGCCAAGAAACAGCAGCTCCAGAATATACTGAGGAGGCCATTGGCATACTGCTGTGTTTGGAGATGTCTCGCTGTGTCTTCCCTTCAGCCACCTAGGAAATGAAAAGGAGGAATGAATCCCAGTTAGACACATTTATGCTCAAATGTCTGGCTGCAGAGCTTCCAGTTCTGAGCACTGATGTGAGACCATAGGAAACTCCTGTAGCCAGGCAGCACGGCCTCCTGCTTCTGCTAGTCTGTCGGGGGAATAGCTCATGGTCCAAGGGTTCTGTATGCATTTGGCATTCCTAACTTTGATGTCCAAAATCACATGTTTCCAGATCCAAGGCTTCTCTACTACTGTCTCAAGGCTACTTGACTCGCTGCTTTGTGGAGGCAACAAAGCAATGCATACCTGGGACATTTCTGAAGCAAGAGATGTGCTGGCACTGTCTCCTTGGAAGCTTAGGGAAGATGAATAAAAGAAGTCTTCCTGTCTTTCTAGAGCTGTCTGTTTCAGGTGCATTTGAGACCAAATGGCATTTTCTGCAAACAGAAGTAAAGCAAGAGTCTTACTGTGCTTTTCTCTGCCCGTATTGGAGCCTAGTGAACAGAAGTCCAGGGAAGCTGTGGTTTAGCTTCCACTCAGGCTCTGTGGCTTCAATTCAGACAATATGTATTTTCTGTTTAGTGAAGGGCCTGTTAGTTTGTGAATTTACTTGTGAGGTTGAGCTGACTGAAAAGCCAATTTGCACTGTACTTAAGGACCTTTGGGTCCCTCTGGGACTTTCCCAAGTGTCTGTTTGGTAAGGCACAGGTATGTAGTATCTCAGATGGGATGTTTAGGTTTTAGGTGTATCTTTAGGGCTGGGTGTGAGGCTTTTCTATACAATAGGAGGTAGATTTAAATATTAATTATTTATCTAATCATGCTGGTTTCTCTGATATCCTTTGGAAGCTTTTACAAACATAAAATATTTAACCTTTATTACAGTCTGTTGCTAAAATGCTAGGGAGATAACAGAAAAACTTACAATCACATAGTTGAATGTAACAGGATTTTTGTAACTCTTGTGCTGTTGAATCTAATAACAGGGGCTCTGTAAAGAGCTAATCTCGACCAAGTGAGGGCCAAAGAAGGCCAAACTGCAGAATCCTAGTGCAACAATGTGGTGGCTCAGCAACCTATGGATACAGCACGGCTGACCTCCCCTTGTGATTTCTTTTTTTTGCAACCCCTTCATTTGAATGCTGTTTGGAAATAGCTTCATGGGTGTTTGAGACAAACAGAAGGGTCGCCAAAAGATACGGAAGCACTTTTGAGAGCAGATCCAGGCTGGTCCCATAGGTTGGATAAGGGATCATGGAGACGCTGCAGAAGGCGGCAGAACTATGCCCAAGAACAATGCAACATAGCATCTTGAAATCAACAGGATTGGAATTTGCCTGTGCTGAGCTGTCTCTCTCATTCTGGGATCTGATTGATGCTTACCAAGGCATTTGTTGTTCTCAAACATGCTGAGTATCTGGTCACACTTCTCCTTCTGGTTGCCACTGCTCTCACATGTACACCACAGAGATACCTCCACACTGGAGTTGCTGACATAGTTGGGTGTCATGGGTGTGCCTGTCCCAAAGGGCCAGAAACCAGAATGAGGATTTACTTCACCAGATGAAAGAAGCATCCTAAGTCCCACTGTAATAAAGGGAATGCTGCCCTGAAGGCAGAAGCCTTCCATTGCGATACACATTACCCAGGAGAGGCCAGGGAGCCCCTGCGAGGTGACCCAGGTCTGGTCAATCTACATGAAGTCTGCTGGGCTGTACTAAAGCGTGGAGATTGCTACCCCTGGCTCAGGCAATCTGATGGTGAGGTGTGCTCATAGCTGAAGCTGGTGCAAGCATCAGATAGAAGGATGCAAAGCTGCAGGGACTCAGCTACAGAACTGGCATATGGCAGCAAAAGGTGCTCGTTTCTTGCTTAGCTGGCAACACTGTGAGGCCAAATGCCTTTTGCCAAATGCTGCATCCTTGTCGGGTGCCATCCAGTCAGAGTTCATTTGGCACAAAACCAGCAAAGACCAGAAGGTATAGTTTAAAGCTCCTGAGATGCTGCTGCTCTTTACAGCTCCTCTTTTGAGCCACTCTGGAAAAGTATTAGCAGGTTGGCAGTGAATGCCTAAAACCAAAGATGACCTTCCTCCTAACAGCTGGTAGTGCTGTGTTCTGTCTGGCTCTGAGAAGATAGCTCTTTTGGGGATGCATTTACCTCAGAAGCAAGAGGGAGCACCAGCATCAATTATTCATTGGTATACTGAGCACCACTTCCTGCAGGAGAGCAGCATCAGTGTGCCTGCAAGTTTGTGTCCTACAGGCACCCGCCCTGTGTGTTCCTGTGGCTATCACTTACCAATCATCCCCATGTAAGCCTGCAGGCATGCAGCATGGCTGTGCTGAGAACAACCATCTGGAGACATGTCTGCAGGTTGACAATTTTGTTGGAAGTCAGCCAGTCGGGATCTGTAGGAAGGAAAATGAGACTGTCAGTGTCTAAGCTGTTCTCTTCTCTTGGCTAATGTCCACTGCTGCTGGACCTACTTGCAGATATGGTCTTCTAAGCAGGAGTCCAGAAGCCAGAGGCAATTTGGTTTGGTGCTATACTGGAAAGAACAATTTGGAACAATAGTTTTCCGGCGTCGTTCTCCACAAAGCTCATCTTGACATGGACAGAATAGGATGCTTTTGGTGAAATCCTCAGGGACTTTCTCAAAGAAATTCCTTAGCCCTCTGTGGCATTTGCGACGGTCACACACATCCTCACTTCCTACTCCTTTGGTGCAGATAGAGGCATACTCTGTGCGCAGACGAACGCACTTCTTGCTCAGATTACAGACATGAGTTGCTTTTAGGCATGGATTTGTTGCATCTCTTGCTAACTGTGAGCCTAGAAAGCCAAAAGAAATCCAGAAACAATGAAGGAAGTCTCCAGAAGAGATTCTGTGTGGAAATAGGAGTAGCCCTTACTTGATGGTCAGATTGGAAATATCAAAAAGAACAAAGCACATTAGTCCTGCTGTGTGCCTGCAGTGTGATGTTGCAGTTGTACTAGTTACAAAATCATGGGGTTTGTTGGTTCGTGTCAGGGTGTTTGTTTCAGTGAATGCATCATTGGGGGTTATTCCCCGTTTCATGGGCCTTGATCTATAACTATATTTACACTTGTTAGGGGGGATGAATTTAGGCAAGTATCCAGAGCAGGCATTCATCTGATTAAAGAGGGCATTACCCCAAATTGTTCTTAATAATTTTCAGCCCCTGAAAAGATAAGAAACAGCAGCATTATATCACATAACCATTACAATCCTTACCTGATAACAGAGCTGCCAGCTTATTATAGTCTGTCTTCCAGTGTTCCTCATTTGCTGGATTCTCATAGGGAGAGGTCTCCAAATTGAAATAACCTGGGCAAGATACAAGATATTTTATGCAGTGGGAAAATGGTTTGGTTGGGGTTTTTTTCTTTCTTTTTTCTCCCCCCTGCTTAATTTTTTTCTTATTTGTGCCTGGCTGTTTTCTCAGCCTGGAGTTCAGAGATGCACTGTTTTGCCCAAAGCCAAATGCCAACAATAGTTCTGCTGGCGATGCCAAGGTACTACGGTGTAAAAACAACCATACATTTTGTATCATATTTCCTCTGGCTGGAATTTGGTCTGTGTTGTCATTTGGGCCTTGTCTGCCTCAGCAGCACTGAGGCGATGTGCAGCACAGGCTGTAGTGGGAGGCCAAGGAGAAGCATCCCACTGAAGCTGGAGAGAAGCAGCACACTCATGGATGCCGTTAGTGTGTGTGATAACGACATGTTGTTTTCAGTGATGACAGACGTGAACATTTCAAGGTGATTTTGACAGCACTCTCCCCTCACAGCACCAAATCTAACTGCCTCAGAGTAGTTATCTTTGTCTGTTGGGGTCCCTGGTGTATTCGAAGGCACAGCACAGATCAGTTTTCTCTGCTTATCAAACAGAGCAGAAGTGAATTCTCTTCACTGGGAAGCATGGCTATAAAGTGAGCTTCACTGTCGGGAAGTCACCTTTTGCAGTTGTTTTCAGATGGGGGCCAGGGGCGAGCCTCACTAGTACCTTACAAATTCCTACTCTTTCATCTCACCATCTGTCATGCTGGAGTGAATGGTCCAGAAAACACGTAAGCAGTGCTCCTGTCTCTTCATGCGCCGGTGGCACTTGCAGTGCAGCAAAGAGCTGTTCCCGAAGCCTAGCTCTGCATTCAGACATTGGACTCTGGTATCATGATCCAGTGGAAGGAAGCGAGTCTTAGCCAGGGCACAGTTTTCTAGGATCCTGTAGGTGCCATTGCAGGCAGAGTCCAGGAGGCACAGTTGTTCTGCTGCTATGCAGTCACTCCTTGGCAGAGCCAGGAGGTCTCCTGGTCAAGCAAAGAAAAGGTTATTAGGATCATAATCACGATGGATGCCACGCGAGCACCTTGTCACTGTTCTGTAGGCATCCTTTATTCAATGAGAACTCCTCTCAAGAGGCAGAACTGGTTGGGATCTCTCACATGGAGCAGTAAGGAACAAAAGCTGTCTCCATTTAGAAACAGAAGGATGAGTATTGATGTATGAAAGATGGAACGAAACGTTGAAAAAAAGTTGCAGAAATAATTTTGTTTAATAAAACATTTTTTTATCACCCTTAACTCTTTCAACTTGGCCATGATCAGGGATGGCTCTGTATTTTATGGAGTAGTAAATCCCCATGGAAACCTTGGGGTTGATGAGGCCTGCTCTGAAGAAGCTCTTCTATCTGTTATCTATGGGTAATGAAAACCGCAGTGCAATAAACACATAGTAAGACCATGCTGTGTGCTGTGAGTCAGTGCTGCTGCACCTGCTGAAGTGTATGCTGGTCATTAAGAGATATACTGAGATAGCAACTTGTACGGTGTAAAAACAACTGCTTTACTGAGCTTGGAAACTTAGGAATAAGAATGTATTTTTTGCATACTAGAATAAATCCTTGACATAAGATGCAAGTAGCTTCATTTAGCAGCACTGATGTGCAATCAATTTAGGTACACAGGACCCAGTCCCTGAAATCCCTGTCAAAAATGCTGGGATGCAGGCTTGGTCTGACATCTTTTATCTCTTGGTTGACTGTGAATTCTATCTATCTGTGTGTATGTATATGTGCATAGCACAGGCATTGATTGATTATATATAGACACACACATACACATGCCTCCTTTCCCTGCATGACAATATTGCTTGGCTGGTTTTAGGAAAGGACTGTGCTGAGCCTTACATCTACCTTTAACGTTCTTTGGGTACATGATATTACCTGTCACTCTCTTGCTCAGTAGGTGCAGTAGTACTGTTTCAGTCTGCCTTCACTACAGATTAGAACAAAATCTTAATGTGCCTCTGTACCTGGTATTACCACCTTCACCATCTAACTTGCTCTCTCACTTCTTTACTTTTGCTGGCTTCATCAGTTCATTTGCTGTAAGCCATAAACAGCACAATTATGTGCTGCTTCTCAAACCTTCTCCTTCTTCTGCAGCCCTGTAATACTCTCTAGGTGTCTCTGTTTCACTTGTACAAACGTCTTTGCTTTTCTAGCAACTTGCTGTATGTTGTTGTTCATCTGGCTGTTATGTAGCTGTGACTGCCTCGCTGTGACTTTATAAGCTCCCTGAAAAGCAAATCTATCATCAGAGAAATTTAAAACAGTCCTCTTCTACAGACATCATTTAATAGCTATGCATTATTTTAAGCCCTAACAGAACTTAAAGGTAATAATAACTTCACAGATTATGATTAATTATACCTTAGAAAAAATGGGTAGGTAATACTATATCCCTTTATTCTCCCTTTTCACTCCATGTCCTGCCATATATATATGTGTATGAATTTGATGCCCCTGGTGCACCATGCTATTGAAAGAGGATGATTACAGAAGGGAAACCTATCAAAGTAGCATTAGTACCGAGACATGGAAAACTGAGGGACATCTATTGTACTCATGTGGCTGCAGGTGCTGCTGCGGTCTCAGTGCCATGGCCCATTTTTAGAGCAGTCACTGCGATACTCAGCAGCTGCAGCTCTTTCTGAGAGTAAAGCACTGACATCCCATAGCCAGGGTCTAGGAATGGTTTAAAGCAGATCCATAATTTCTGCATTTCTAGTCCCATCAGCCATGAAGACTGCGCAGGAGATGAACTGGAGAGGAACCGTTTCTATCCTTGGCTCTCGTGACTTGGCAGTAATAGACGGCGGAGTAGAGCAAACTGCTGCATCTCTGCAGGAGTTCCTCGCGTTGGTCTTTGCAGAGTGAGCCTCACCTCAGAAAACTACCGGCCCGTAGCACTCGGGAGGGGTCAGGAGGGTGGGTGCCAAAAAAGGCCCTCGA